TTTCTACGTATTGGCTTTCAGAAATCTTAGAACTAAAATTTTTGCCATGCTCTGAAAGTATATGGAAATCATATTACAAATTTTGTGATCTACCCTCACCTCTGAATGCATCCTAATCTTCTCTTGTTTATTTTTTGCCTCCTATCTATCTTGGTGTTCTGAATACTTCTCTATGAGCCACTTCAAATCCTTTTTAACATAAAACAGAACATTAATAATAAATGATGTTTGAATGTCTTTTCACTTTATAAAGCCTTTCTCAAAACAATGACTAAGCAACAGGTAAGTGTTTGATATTGTCATAGTTTAGGATCTTTGTGAAACGGATTCAAACGAGATGGAATTTAGAATGCAGGATGATTATTAGGAAATATCCTTGTGGTCAGTACCTGGGGATGGAAGAAGAAGGAGATGGGTTTGAATACAGTAAGAAGTTGAGCTGCAGCTGAGTCTTGACAGTAGCCTCAGCTGCCCATAAGGAGCTCTGAACCTAAAATGGCCCAGCAAAGCTGTCCTACATTGGGCCAAAAGGAAATACTCCTTGCCTCAAGCAGTTATGGGGTGTTGGCTGCTCTAGGCAGGGCTTGACTTTGGCAAGGTGGCTCTCTGCAGCTGAAGCTATCCTCAAAAGGGTCCTGAATGTTGTCTTCTAACTACAAACCAGTATCTAGAGAAACAAGCCAACCCTTGATAAGGGAAGTATAGCATTCCAGCTATTACAAATATTGTAGGAGAGTTATATACCCTATGGAAATTACAATACCCTGGAGAAGTTACATACCTTTGAGAAGTTATTTTGATTATCCAGTTATGCGCTAGTCAAATCTCCTTCTACTCTGACCAGAGAAAACTTAGAATATCTTTCCTTGAAAGGGAATGATTGAACTGTAAACATTTCTTATGTGTTTGTTCAATATACAATATCTATGAGTGTCTAATTTGTGCTACATACAACCTAGACCTTAAACATTATGGAGAATTCAAAGTGTGAACCGTATCTTAGTCCATTTTATGTTGTAATAACAGAATATCCCAGATTCAATAATTTATAATGAACAGAAATTTGTGTGGCTCACATTTCTGGGGGCTGAGAAGTCCAAGATCGTAGTGCCAGTGTCTTCCAAGGGACTTTGTGCTGCATCACCCCACGGCAGAAAACAGATAGACAAGAGCAAGAAAGCAAGAGGGGGCCAAACTCACTTTTATAACAAACCCATTCTCACAATAACTAATCCAATCCCATGACAACAATATTAACTCATGAGAGCGCTTACGAATAAATAACCACCTTTTATTTGACTGCACCTCAAACTTTGTTCCTTTCAGGATTGTTTCCAACACATGAACTTTGGGGGACACATTCTAATCACATAGCACAATCCCTGACATGTATTCAAGTGGGCAGTGCTCATATTTCATGTTTCTCATCTTTACAGTGTTGTAATAGGGAGCTCTTGCTTCATAATAAGTCCTCCAGCTTCACACACTTCTATACTTACAAACAAAGAAATGTGTTCTTAGTAAATGTTGTATCACATAGTTCAAAACAGTGAATAACAGGTAATTTAATTTATCAATACCATGCTATATATAGGTAATGAAAAATTTTATTTCATATTAAGTCTATTAGCCAGTTTCTACGTTCTTAAAGTCAGACTCCAAATTATCACATTCTTCAAATTTCATGAGTACATAGATTACTCAGCTCTATTGAATAAAGAAAAATATAAAGAGAAATGAAATGTACTTGTGGAGTAGGAGTAACAGGAGCTAGATGTAAAAATTAGTTTGTGTGGTGCTTAATAAAAGTTATAAAATATTTTTATTTTTTGACTTAAATACTTTTTTCCTATTAAATCAAAGCAAATAATTGAAGTGAGATTTTTGTTACTGTTTTTAATTTGTTTTGTTTTTGTTTGTTTTATCACTTGTCTTTTCTTGACTAGTGTGGACCTCAAAGATTTTCTTGTCTATGTCCCTTTTAAAATGGGAAAGCTAGAGTTTAGGGAGACTTCATAATTGCCTACTTTATGCAGGACAATTCCAGACTAGAATCCAGGTTTTCCTATTCCTAATTTAGTGTTTTTCCTCCTCCATCGCTCCATTTATTTATATTAATAGCTCTAAGAAATTAATAGCATTAATAAATTTCTCAAAGTGTCTGTGTTGACAACATATCTCCTTTTTATCCCTTTTCAAAATGATTTTTTTTTAAGTATTTCCCTGGAGTACATGCAACAACTGAAGATGAGCTTTGTTTTTACCAGTCAATGTATGTTTGACATCAGTGATTAATACAGTCTTCCCTCAGTTGCTAAGCTTCTTTATCTTGGTGAATAAAGGATTGACAGATTGTTAGGCAAAGAGCATATGCTTCGAAACTATGCTGATACCCCTGGGCATCAGACAACCTAAAAATTTAGAGACTGAAGAGGTGTATACATCAGCTTATTTTTGTTCATTGAAAAGAAATGTAGCTTATGTGGGGTTGACTTTTTATGACATTTATTTAGTACTTGAATTGACTGACAAGCCTATTAATGTATTCCCTGAACTTTATTAATGTAATTTGAAAACTGCCTACATGTCAATCAACTTCTAATAAGTAATTATGTTCATAAATACTGTAAAATTACTAGCTTTTAATTTTGTCCAATCTTATGCTTTCCAACAGCAACATGGATTTTTTTTCTTTTTTCTAGGAGAATAAAATATTACACTGAAGTAATATTCAATAAGTACATTCCTAACTGCTCAAAAGTTTGCCAGCATCTAATGACCGGTAAAAAAGAGTACTACAGTAAGGTGTGTAGCAGATTTTAAAACTCAAACAATATTAAACAACCTATGTTTTATAAAGTTATTTTTAAAATCCTATGAGAATTAAGCATGTACCTATGTAGGTCTTAAATACCCATAGTCTGGGTATTTAAAATACAGGCCTAATATGGAACAAGACAGAATGGAATAAGGAAAATGGAATATATTTATTCTTCAGAAACATCATTTAAACCTACAAGTTTAAAATGTACAAGCAAAATGTCTGTATCTTAAGTAACTCAAACATATTATTGTTTTGAGTTAAAACTATATATAATATACACATATTATGTATAGTTTTTTCACATAATGAAAATCTTTTAGCGTCAGGTCAAAGGGCAGAGAACTGAACAAGAGAACAGGATTAGGCTTGAATAACATAAGAAATCCATTTTGTTTTATAATCTCATGTCAGTTTCTGAAGCTGGACTAACTCCCACCCTCTGGAGTCCCTGAATAATCTCTGAATAAAGATGGACTTTGGTGAAAAGGTTATTATATTCTTATATATCACTTTTAAATAATGAACAACTCTACAGTCTGCAATAATCTGTAAAGAAAAGAAAAATCATTGAGGAATTCCATTGACTTATTTTTCAAGTTATGCTTTCCTCCTTAAAGTTAATTGTTTAATTAAGAAGTTTAACCTTATCACAAAACTTAAAATATTTACTGTACTAACAATTGAAGCTGTGTTTGAATTCAAGTTTACCTTGATGTAAGGAAAAAAGGTCAGTTAATAAGGTTATAGATTAATAATCTTTTTCAGACGTAAGCTATGCACCTAAATTAATTTTCAGCTTTGACTTATTGAAGGGTAAACTTAGAGACAGTACAACTGACTTGCTCACTCAACTTTCCTATTAGGAATAAAATATGCATGCTCTGGCACCACATTATCATATAATTTGTTGTTAATTTTATTTAGAAATATGGCAACATCATTTTCAGTTCCACAGAGCATATTTCCAAACAACCAACACATGATTAATCTATAAAACACAAGGAAATGATGTAAAAGGTCAAAAAATAAATGTTTTCCATTCTTCCAGCATAATAATTGCATTTTTCTTGAAAACCAATTGTATTATTGGGTATGTATGCTCTTACATTTTAGTATGCAAGATAAATAAAATAATTTGATGATTCTGTTTATATCTGGAGATTGAAAGCTAGCATGATTTATGATCTATTGAGAGTCAAGCAAATATAAACCATTGTTTACATATTTCTCAATTATTCTATATTTAAATAAAGAAATCTTAGAAGACTGCTACTTTTCATTGTGAATGGAATCAAAATAAACAGAAGCTGGATTGAGACAGAGTATCTGAATGCTTGGAGGACTGCATTTAAAGAGTTACTATGCATATATCAAAAAGTTCTAATATTTTCAGGTATCTATTGTAAGTTTCAAATATTTATTTTAATGTATCAATCATGGGCTCCCAAAGATTTATTGAAGGGATGAGTTAAAGGAAGATACAAGGTGAATCATGTACAAATGTCATAATATGGTATTAGCGGATATTTCTTGATCTTTGTAAGTGGGGATTTCAATGCCTGTAATAGTCATTACACTTCTTAGTGGCTACAGTACTTGCATATATTTTTTTAAAGTTTGTATGTGTATGTGTCTGTGTGTGTGTTTCAATTCAAAGCCAGTCGAAAGACTTTTTCATTATGTCTGTATGACTCTTTTTTTTTTTTTTTTTTTTTTTGAGATGGAGTCTTGCTTTGTTGCCCAGGCTAGAGTGCAGTGGTGTGATCTTGGCTCACTGCAACCTCTGCTTCCTGGGTTCAAGTGATTCCCCTGCCTCAGCCTCCCAAGTGGCTGAGATTACAGGCGCCTGCCACTGCTGTCAGCTAATTTTCGTATTTTTAGTAGAGACAGGGTTTCACCATGTTGGCCAGACTGGTCTCGAACTCCTGACCTCATGATCCACCCACCTCGGCCTCCCAAAGTGCTAGAATTACAGGCATGAGCCACTGTGCCTGGCCTGTCACTATGACTCTTAATGACTTTCTGGTATCTAGGAATGTAAACCCATGAAAACAATGACAATCTACTTCAACAAATACTTCAGCATTGTTAATTGCTTCTTAGTCATTCTGATACCTAAATATTAAACATTGCTAAGCATAGTCTTTCACAATATAGTAGTTCTGAAAATACATACCTTGCACAGTTAGATGCACCTGCATTGTTCTGGGTGTATGTTGAGTCTGAACAGAACACGTGTATGGGCCATCATCTGTCACATCTACATTCTGTATCTGGAGGCTGTAGTCCCTTTTATTCAATGTTGAAATTGAAACTCGAGGATCCACTGACCACTTATCATTTCCCGCAAAAATAATACTTGACCTGTTCAGCCAGGCACCCTTTGAAGCTCCATCTTCCAAATAACACCTGCAAATTACAAGAGATATAACACTATTAATCAAAATGAAAATGAGAGACAACATTATTTTGTTCTGAGTGTTATTTTCTTTTACAGAATAATAGCACAGCATCAAATACAAACTTCAGACATTAACTCAGGAAACATGAACATACTGATGCATCTTCCATTCCTAATGCAAATGTGAAACAATACTTTCATACAGTTTTTTTTTTAAAGTATGTATTTTTGTGTGTGTGTGTGTGTGTGTGTGTGTGTGTGTGTTTCAACTAAAAGTCAAACGTCTTTTTCATTCTGTTTGGATGACAAATCTAAATAAAGTTCAATTAGTTTGAACAATTTTCTATATTAAAGCCTATTTCTTTGTTTGAAATTATGAGAAGCAAGGAAGGTCTCTGATTTAGACTGACCTGACCCAATCTGATACTGAATATAATGTACCAGATGCAGAAGTTATAGAACCATAGAAGTTTATTTATTTATTTATTTACTTATTTATTTCTTTTGAGACAGGATCTTACTCTGTTGTTCAAGCTGGAATGCAGTGACATAATCTTGGCTCAATACAACCTCCATCTGTCCGGTACAAGCAATTCTCCCGCCTTAGCCTCCATGGTAGTTGGGATTACAGGTGCCTGCCATTGTGCCTGGATAATTTTTTTTTCCCATTTATTTATTTTATTGCATTTTAGGTTTTGGGGTACATGTGAAGAACATGCATAATTGTTGCACAAGTACACACCTGGCAGTGTGATTTGCTGCCTTCCTCCCCATCACCTACATCTGGCATTTCTCCCCTTGCTATCTCTCCCCAGCTCCCCACCCACCACCGTCCCTCCCCTATTTCCCCCCAACTGTCCCCAGTGTGTAGTGCTCCCCTCCCTATGTCCATGTGTTCTCATTGTTTAACACCCGCCTATGAATTAGAACATGCGGTGTTTGATCTTCTGCTCTTCTGTCAGTTTGCTGAGAATGATGGTTTCCAGGTTCATCCATGTCCCTACAAAGGACCCAAACTCATCATTTTTGATGGCTGCATAATATTCCATAGTGTATATGTGCCACATTTTCCCTACCCAGTCTATCATCGATGGGCATTTGGGTTGGTTCCAGGTCTTTGCTATTGTAAACAGTGCTGCAATGAACATTTGTGTGCATGTGTCCTTATAGTAGAACGATTTGTAATCCTTTGAATTATACCCAGTAATGGGATTGCTGGGTCAAATGGAATTTCTATTTCTAGGTCCTTGAGGAATCGCCACACTGTCTTCCACAATGGTTGAACTAATTTACACTCCCACCAACAGTGCAAAAGTGTTCCTATTTCTCCACATCCTCTCCAGCATCTGTTGTCTCCAGAGTTTTTAATGATCACCATTCTAACTGGCGTGAGATGGTATCTCAGTGTTGTTTTGATTTGCATTTCTCTGATGACCAGTGACGATGAGCATTTTTTCATATGTTTGTTGGCCTCATGTATGTCTTCTTTTGTAAAGTGTCTGTTCATCTCCTTTGCCCACTTTTGAATGGGCTTGTTAGTTTTTTTCTTGTAAATCTGTTTTAGTTCTTTGTAAATTCTGGATATTAGCCCTTTGTCAGATGGGTAAACTGCAAAAATTTTTTCCCATTCTGTTGGTTGCCGATTCACTCTAATGACTGTTTCTTTTGCTGTGCAGAAGCTGTGGAGTTTGATTAGGTCCCATTTGTCTATTTTGGCTTTTGTTGTCAATGCTTTTGGTGTTTTGGTCATGAAGTCTTTGCTTACACCTATGTCCTGAATGGTTTTGCCTAGATTTTCTTCTAGGGTTTTTATGGTGTTAGGTCTTATGTTTAAGTCTTTAATCCATCTGGAGTTAATTTTAGTGTAAGGTGTCAGGAAGGGGTCCAGTTTCTGCTTTCTGCACATGGCTAGCCAGCTTTCCAAACACCATTTATTGAACAGGGAATCCTTTCCCCATTGCTTGTTTTTGTCTGGTTTGTCAAAGATCAGATGGTTGTAGATATGTTGTGTTGCCTCTGAGACCTCTGTTCTGTTCCATTCGTCTATATCTCTGTTTTGGTATCAGTACCGTGCTGTTTTGATTACTGTAGCCTTGTAATATAGTTTGAAGTGTGGTAGTGTGATGCCTCCCGCTTTGTTCTTTTTGTTTAGAATTGACTTGGCTATGCGGGCTCTCTTTTGGTTCCATATGAAGTTTAAGGTGATTTTTTCCAGTTCTGTGAAGAAGGTCATTGGTGGCTTGATGGGGATAGCATTGAATCTGTAAATTACTTTGGGCAGTATGGCCATTTTCACGATAATGATTCTTCCTAACCATGAACATGGAATGTTTCTCCATCTGTTTGTGTCCTCTCTTATTTCGTTGAGCAGTGGCTTGTAGTTCTCCTTGAAGAGGTCCTTTACGTTCCTTGTTAGTTGTATTCCTAGGTATTTTATTCTCTTTGTGGCAATTGTGAATGGAAGTTTGTTCTTGATTTGGCTCTCTTTAAGTCTGTTATTGGTGTATAGGAATGCATGTGATTTTTGCACATTGATTTTGTATCCTGAGACTTTGCTGAACTTGCTTATCAGTTTCAGGAGATTTGGGGCTGAGACAATGGGGTCTTCTAGATATACAATCATGTTGTCTGCAAACAGAGAAAATTTGACTTGCTCCTTTCCATTTGAATGCCCTTTATTTCTTTTTCTTGCCTGAATGCTCCGGCTAGAACTTCTAATACTATATTGAATAGCAGTGGTGAGAGAGGGCATCCTTGTCTGGTGCCACATTTCAAGGGGAATGCTTCCAGTTTTTGCCCATTCAGTATGATATTGGCTGTTGGTTTGTCATAAATAGCTTTTATTATTTTGAGATATATTCCATCAATACCTAGCTTATTGAGGGTTTTTAGCATAAAGGGCTGTTGAATTTTGTCAAAGGCCTTCTCTGCATCAATTGAGATAATCATGTGGTTTTTGTCTTTGGTTCTGTTTATGCGGTGAATTACGTTTATAGACTTGTGTATGTTGAACCAGCCTTGCATCCCCGGGATGAAGCCTACTTGATCATGGTGGATAAGCTTTTTGATGTGCTGGTGCAATCGGCTTGTCAGTATTTTATTGAAGATTTTTGCATCTATGTTCATCATGGATATTGGCCTGAAGTTCTCTTTTCTTGATGAGTCTCTGCCGGGTTTTGGAATCAGGATGATGGTGATCTCATAAAATGATTTGGGAAGAATTCCCTCTTTTTGTATTGTTTGGAATAGTTTCAGAAAGAATGGTACCAGCTCCTCTTTGTATGTCTGGTAGAATTTGGCTGTGAATCCGTCTGGACCTGGGCTTTTTTTGGGTGGTACGCTCTTAATTGCTGCCTCAACTTCAGACCTTGTTATGGGTCTGTTCCGGGTTTCAGCTTCTTCCTGGTTTAGGCTTGGGAGGAGGCAAGTGTCCAGGAATTTATCCATTTCTTCCAGGTTTGTTAGTTTATGTGCATAGAGTTGTTTGTAATAATCTCTGATGATGGTTTGAATTTCTGTGGAATCTGTGGTGATATCCCCTTTATCGTTTTTTATTGCATCAATTTGGTTATTCTCTCTTTTCTTTTTTATTAATCTGGCTAGTGGTCTGTCTATTTTGTTGATCTTTTCAAAAAACCAGCTCCTGGATTTATTGATTTTTTGAAGGGTTTTTTGTGTCTCTATCTCCTTCAGTTCTGTTCTGATCTTAGCTATTTCTTGTCTTCTGCTAGACTTTGAGTTTTTTTGATCTTGCTCCTCTAGCTCTTTCAGTTTTGATGACAGGGTGTCAATTTTTGATCTCTCCTTGCTTCTCGTGTGGGCACTTATTGCTATATATTTTCCTCTAGAGACTGCTTTAAATGTGTCCCAGAGATTCTGGTATGTTGTGTCGTCATTCTCGTTGGTTTTGAAGAACATCTTTATTTCTGTCTTCATTTCATTGTTTATCCAGTCAACATTCAAGAGCAAGTTGTTCAGGTTCCATGAAGCTGTGCGGTTCTGGGTTAGTTTTTGAATTCTGAGTTCTAACTTGATTGCACTGTGGTCTGAGAGACTGTTTGTTACGATTTCCGTTCTTTTGCATTTGCTGAGGAGTGATTTACTCCCAATTATGTGGTCAATTTTAGAGTAGGGGTGATGTGGTGCTGAGAAGAATGTATATTCTGTGGATTTGGGGTGGAGAGTTCTGTAAATGTCTATTAGGTTTGCTTGGTCCAGGTCTGAGTTCAAGTCCTGGATATCCTTGTTAATTTTCTGTCTGGTTGATCTGTCTAATATTGACAATGGGGTGTTAAAGTCTCCCACTATTATTGTGTGGGAGTCTAAGTCTCTTTGTAAGTCTTTAAGAACTTGTCTTATATATCTGGGTGCTCCTGTATTGGGTGCGTATATATTTAGGATCATTAGCTCTTCTTGTTGCATTGATCCTTTTACCATTATGTAATGTCCTTCTTTGTCTCTTTTGATCTTTGTTACTTTAACGTCTAATTTATCAGAGATGAGAATTGCAACTCCTGCTTTTTTTTGCTCTCCATTTGCTTGGTAAATCTTCCTCCATCCCTTTATTTTGAGCCTTTGTGTATCCTTGCATGTGAGACGGGTTTCCTGGATACAGCACACCGATGGGTTTTGGCTTTTTATCCAATTTGCCAGTCTGTGTCTTTTGATTGGGGCATTTAGTCCATTTACATTTAGGGTTAATATTGTTGTGTGCGAATTTGATACTGCCATTTTGGTGCTAGCTGGGTGTTTTGCCCTTTAGTTGAGCTGGTACTTGTTGTTCCTTTACATGTGTAGAGCCTCTTTCAGGAGCTCTTGTAGAGCTGGCCTGGTGGTGACAAAATCTCTGAGTACTTGCATGTTCCCAAAGGATTTTATTTTTCCTTCACTTATGAAGCTTAGTTTGGCTGGATAGGAGATTCTGGGTTGAAAGTTCTTTTCTTTAAGGGTGTTGAATATTGGTCCCCACTCTCTTCTGGCTTGTAGGGTTTCTGTTGAGAGATCTGCT